CTCCCCTATCTAACTCAGTCAGCTTGAACTTCGCGTTTTCTGAGCCGAAAGGGCAGCCTTCTACTCGCGTACCTAACACTGAGCAAAAGGTCTGGCAAATCAAGGGAAAATTGCAAAGCACTCACCCGTACCAGGAACCATGAGCAGGCACGTCATCCCGCCGCTGCCAACCAGTTGTAGCGACCGAGGAGTTCCCCAGGCAGCCTCAGGCAGGGCCAGGCGAGGACAGGAACCGCAGGCCGACTCCAGGCAGGGACATCAGGAGACGGGAGGGTGTCTCGCGATAAACTCTGTTTTAATACATATGTACAGAAGTTTCTCGTTCGTCGGAGAGCACACTCGCGGCCTCTCGTTTGCTATTTTTATACAGTCGCTGTTTATGTTCCAGCGGTTGGCAGCCAATGGTGGCCGAACTGCCAACGGACGTCACGTTCAGGCCCCGCCCCCACTCCTCTCGAGTGCGTACACACATACACGCACACACTGCAGCGTCGGACGGGCTTCCCAATCCGGCGCCGGGGCATTCTTGACCTCAATAAGCCGCGCCAGGAGTCGGTGACGAAGGGTCCGCTGTCAGCTCGTGAGACGTTGACCGTGATGGAGATGATCCCCTCATTATGCGGCGTCCTGGCTCGGGAAAGGTTTAGCGGGATAATCCGCAAGTGGCGCCGGACGAAAACTTGAGCCGAACGTACTCGGCCGGAAGTCCCGCCGCCGGCGTCGTCCCCCGGAATCCTCTCTCGGCAGGGCAGCTGGTTCCTGGATGGACTGACCCCCGCAGCCAGAGAGAAGAGTCCGGCTCAGCTCCGCTCCCAGGTGTGGCGGCGTCCACGCGGCGCCGGACGACGTGTTCTGTCAACAACGGCTCAGACGGCCGGTCGCCGATCCTAAATGCGAAGGCTAAACCCCGCCGGGTGGACAAGAAGGGGAGGCGAAGGAAGGACGTGACCTTCGCCAAGGCCTATCGCAACACCGCGCTTTGTTTTCCCGGCGAGAAATGGCCGACGGGCTCTCACGACGGGGTCGGTGCATCGGCGAAGCTGGACGTCTTGGCGACGGCGACCGGAATCCGCGGCGAGGTGCAGGCAGGGGAGACCGAGATCGCCGAAGATAGTCTTCAATCTCCTGTGTTCGCTCGCCGTAGCGTGGGCGTGGGTCGCTCGGGTGGAAACCGCGCTGCCCTATTTGCCGGTAGGGGCAACGGCGATAGATATGGTCGGCTTCCACGCAATGGTAGCACAACCGGCGTTGATTGGCCGTCCTCCACACGTTGGTTTTTCTTGGCGCAGGTTGTTCTGGGTGGACGTGCGCTCGATCTTTCTGGCGTCGAGAATACTGCGGCGCTGGAGGTTCACGTCGGGGAGGCGCCATGTACGGACGCGGGGCTGGTGGCGCTCGTCGGGCCATTGCAGCGTAGGTTAGCATCGGTTCTTCGGGGGCAGCCACGCTGATGGGAACCTTCGGTTGGATGGTTTCCGGGACTTTTTACCGCGCTACCTCGGCGATAGAGAGCGAGGCCGGGCGTGCGGCAGCGGGCAGCAGCTCCTTCAGCTCCTCCTGGACAACTTTACGGGTGATGTCACGGATGCCGGTGAGGTTGGTACCAAGGTCGGATTTGGATGTCACCAGAGTAGTTATGCCAGGGTGTTGCTAGTAGTTTCTGGCGCGTGCTAGTAGGGCTAGTTCCATATTTGTCGACTTCGTGCGAACACGTCGACTGTTGTCGGTGGATTGCGGATAAGAACGCCGAATATTTCGCTCTTCACACCCCTCATCAAGTGTCGCAGCTTCTTTGCCTCTGTAGCCTGACATTTGGCGCGAGCGTTCAGGCGAAGAACATCATCGACGAAGCTGGCGATGATCTCATTTGGGCCTTAGGTCCTTGTTCGAAGGATGTCTTTGGCCCTCTTGCGTCGGTGTTGGCTGGTGAACGTCTTCTTCAGTTCTTGTTTACACACCTCCCACGAAGTTAAAAAAGTCTCGCGGTTCTCCAGCCAGTACATCGCTTTCCCTTCACCAAAATGTCACGAATGACGAGGTGAAGAAACAAAGAAAAACAGAGGAAGCTGAAACGTTTATTGGGGCGGACTTGTGCCCAAAACAAAAAGGAAACAGAAGGTAACAACAGAACGTTGCGGGCATCGAAGTCGGCGTAACAACATGATTGAACGCTGGGGCGAGACTGACTCCGAACCGCCACGCGGAGCGCCTTTTTTACGCGCGTGGATTTCTGGAACATTCGGCGTAGTACATTCGGTGCATTCGCAACTCGATCAGACTAGAAGGTTCTCGAACTTACGAGAATGTCTACTTGAAAGAATAAATAAAATAGGAGCCCGCTCACTAGAATAGACCGATCTCATCAGCTAGTTTGAGTACGCCACCGCTGCCGATATGCATCGTGGGAGCTGTAGCCTTTCTGCACGCGCGACAACCCTGCTGGAGGTTTGCGCGAGCAGAGCACGAGGCGGCATGAGCTGCCTCGTGGACTGGCGCCTGCCTCCTACGAACTACAGTTATGGCGGCGTCACGCATGCGTGGAACGCTTGGTGAGATCGGTCTATTGAGCCCGGAGCCTCCGGGTGATAGCCAAGTTCGGTAACCATTCGGCCACGCGTTCGCTCGGCAACGCGCGCGGCAATATAGGTTTGGCATTTTCGCCACCGTATGAAGTGTCTGTCTCCGGTTCTTTCGTTCATGCAATTCCTATTTCTACTGTAAAATTGAGTTAGCACCTGCATAACCCCAAAGCGTCTTTTCTATAGGGAGTATTCACTGGCGGCCATAGCTGTGTGCGCGAATGCTGAGCGCGTGCTGACGGCGAGCTTCCACAGTTCTTTTGCAACGTGCATTCCGCACCATCAAGAGTGCCGGTCTTAGCAGCCTATTGATGTGAGCTGGTTCTGAGCATGCGCTCTAAACAGCACCCACAAATATGACGTTTAGTGAATACTCCCTATAGTCTATTTCACCTTATGATTTACCGGAGAGGAGGCTACAAGCGCGAGCACCTTGCTCTAGGGCACGTCTCGGCGGCACAAGCTCTCGTGCACTAAGGGCTGCTGCCAACGCTATGAGCCGTGGCTATGAGCTAGGGCTTCTAGCCTTCGCTGCGGTACAACATAAGGTGAAACGGAGTTAGCATGATGTTGAGCTAAACTGAGAGTGCATAAAAACTTCGACACCGACACGATCGGCCTTCATAACAATCGGTGGAATAGATATTTTTCAAAGCTGTCTATCCGCCTACTGCCTGCTATGTGATCGCTTTATTCCCCAAAACGTCCTGGGGATTTCAGAATCAGTTTAGGTGCCAGGTAGTGACTGATTCAAAGTTAAAAGCATCAGCAATCATAATCAGAGAGGGCGTCTTAATGCTTCAGTTTTTTTTAATCTTTGCTTTCCTGGATTATTTTTATTATACTTTTTCAGCGGGTGAGTAGGCATGCCATTTTAATTTACTAGCTGATCTTTCGGAAGTTCAAATTTCACCACCAGTGTGAACGTCCAAGACCGTAGCTGTGAGCATTTCGAAAATACCTTTCGGTAATTACGCACTAGAAACATTAAACCAAATATTTTAGCTGCACGCCTGCCTTAATTTTTATTAAATAACGTTTTCCAAGCGTTCATTTGAATAAGTTCTTAAAAATATGTTGATAAAGAACTAGGTCTGGCATCGAAGCTAACTTTGTCCTGTTGCCGGCCCGAAATTCGCTCAGTCAGCGATCAAGGCAATACACATTGTTCAACACAAGTTGCTGCTGTTTTAATGCGAAAGCATTAACTGCCCCATGGAGCGAGCCCACATCATCAGCTTTAAGCCGCGCCAAACGGCAGCTAAACTCCTCTCTCCCAATGGAGCGAAGTGACGCCGCGATCTGAAGCCTCCCAGCTTTGAAGCCGCGCAAAAATTCACCCAAAAGGGTAGCTAAATTCACCACTCCAAATGGAGCAAAATGAAGTTGATTTCTGATTTATAGGCTCCCATTGGCTCCACTCTAAAAAAAACCTGTGCGTCTACTTTTCCGCGCAGCACTTGTAGAGCCACTCACCGCAGCTTACGGAGGCAGCTCAGCGAATGACGATGCCAAAACATATGTTTAGACCAAAAAACGCAGTCTGAGTTGTGACATTAAGCAATGCAAAACGTCACGCTTGCATTGCTTAATGTAACAACTCAGACTGCGTTTCTTGGTTACAGTGCAGAACTCAGACTGCATTTTAGAATTACAGTGCAGAAAGGCAATGAAATAAACAGTTTATTATTATCTTTTTTTCTTTTCTCTTTCTTTTTTTTCTTTTCATTGTCGTAGACGTTTTGTAAATATGTTCTAATTAATACTTTCAATTTCCTACTGTCAAGATGCGATAGATAATTCCTTCCTTACATTCATGCCGGGAACATAAGGACTGTGTTTTGTACTCGTTGTGATAGTGTATGTGTCTATGTATTTTTAACGTATTCGTTGCGTTTTTGTTTCGATGTTTTCAGTTTATTCATAATTTGTAGTGTGCGTAAGTTTTGGCGTACCAGCACCGAGACCGCATGGTTGTTCCTGGGTGACTAATAATGTATTCTTGATTCTTGATTACTATTTCATTGAGCAAAGCTTGTCAGCAAAATGGAAAAACAATATTCTCTTTTTTTCTGATTATTTTTGTTCATTTAAATAGCTTATAAGCGGCGCTCACGAAGACATTTTTTTTATGTTTTGACGAAAGCATGCTTAGGTAGACGTAGGCTCACAGTGAAATTTTGTCTTTCTCAATTATCTTCTGATCTAAGTAACGTCAGGTTCCTGAACTTTCTCGTTCTATCCCAACCACTGGCGCCACATGCTCACGGAGTTCGATCTGTCTGCGATACGTAGTTGGTTCACGCGGGCCGAACATCACTGTTATCCTCATAAACAGCCGGTATATTTTAGCACGTTTTAAAACAACATTAAGGAGGCATACTTTTCAGGCGAAAATTTGGAGCAAAATGTCCAACTCACCGTTGGCAAGGTCTCCAAACGTCAGTGTAATAAAGAAGAGAACAACTTTAGGGGCGTTGAGCCCTGCACAAATAGTTTCAGTCGTTCTTGGCTTCCGGCAAGGGATACTACCAGCAATGCTACGTTCGAGAAGGTGACGAAAAGCTTCGCAAGTATATGCCTTCATAGTGTTATCCAGGGATCATTACCGATAGCCCTACGAGTTCAGACGAATTGAGTTCTTTCTGGTTTCTGTTGCTATATACCTTTATCCAGCAGGCGGTATTTGCCCTATAAATAACAATAGCCTCAGCGTGCGCTAATAAAAATAAAAGACAATAAATAAAAATCGCGAAAATGCCGCCCTCGTTTAAGGGGACGTAAAAGAATGTGCGTAAAAAGGCCACACTGCCAGATGTTCTGGTTCTCTCTATTGCAAGACCAACTTTTGGACACGCAGCGGTTAGGCACGTGGCGTACCGACCTTCAAGCAATGAGTGACCTTACAAGCAATTTCAGAGCTTAGGCTCGCGCGTCGATGGCACGATCTCGCCTTTTACGGTTTTTCCCCTCACCTTCCTGCTACCAGATACTTTACTAGGAGGAATACATTCCACTCCGCTCATTTGCATTAGACAGAACACCTACAGCGCCCAATCCAGCCCTGACGGAGGGGAGGTCCGCGTCAGCACACGCGCATGTTCACGTGGATGTTCGCGGCGGCCGCAGTGGTGTCGTCTCCGATTCCAGCTAAAGCCCTTCATGTTTCAAAAGTACACTCTTAATTTGGGGCCACCTAGGGAGCCACCTATAGCCGTGACAAATGAGATCCAACTCGTCACGGCAAATTTTGGGGCCACCTAAAATTGTCAACCCGTTTGCCGTCCCTTTTTAGGTGGCCCCAAAATTTGCCGTGACAAGTAGGATCTTGCCGGCCCGTTTTTTAGCTGGCCCGTTTTCTAGCTGGCCCGTCTTCTAGGTGACCCATTTTCTGCTGGCTATATAAATGTCCCGTCGCCCGCTCCCCCGCAGAGTATCTCGGAGGGTCCAGGACTGTGATCCATGAAGAAAGCCAAAGGATTGAGAAGTACAGGAAATTTTCACCGTAAAAATAAAGCTGTGACGTGGCACTGAGCCTGACGTCGTCTTGTGAGACGTCATGCACATAGTCACGTCGCCACTTTATTTTTGAGTCGCAGAATATATTGGAAAAGCATTGCCAAGCTCAATTTGTATATAGTTTAGATACTGACTTCTCGAGTGCTCTAGGGGAAAGTTAATATGCAGGAATTGTTTCAAGGGCCAGGCCGGTGGTTTTTAAACATTTGAAAGAACAGTGGCTCCACAGGTAAACAATACATTTATTTGGTCAAATTAGATGCACAACTGAAGATACAGGTGGTGCTTTGTTGTAATAAATACCACATTCAAACAATAAAATCGAAAAGTATATGAAAACTTGTGTCACTTGCTGAAACATTGGAGGAAGCATGGTCCTTGTTTTCACTTGACACTTGACGAACTAGGACCCGCCGCAGTTGAAGGTGCGCTCTCCGAGCCAAGTGTGTTGCAGTCAGCCGGAGCTTTGTGCCACAAGACATGTATCCGCGGCACGTCCGAAGGCCAGTTGCCTCAGTCGTCAAGGCATGATGCTGCTGCGATTAAGAGTTTTCAGTATTTTATTATAAGAGAATAAGGGAGAGAGAACATGTCTTGTATCTTAATTACGTCCTAAAATTTATCAAACAGCTGTTTTTTTTTTAGAAACTAGCTTGCTGGACGTAAGAGGCTATTCAGATGCTGAGTCGTCGGCCACAAACATGGCTGCTAACATAACGTTTATTCATATGCCCTACGAAAAACAAAAGAAAGCTAAAGAAATTCGCCAATTAGATAACCGCATTTGCTTTCGGCAGCCATACATGTTTGCAGTTACTCGACATTAAAAAGCAGTCTGACGTAATATGGATAGACCCTATAGATTTAATGGCAGTTTGAAGAGTGGGAACAAAACCGTAAATTTTGACGGCACCAGGCAGGCAGGGTAGCTGAGGCTGTCCACCTGCCAGGATCTACAGGTCCATGGCTATCATACAGGCTGCGTCACGAAACGTCGGCTAAATCGTTGCTCAAAAAGTACACGTTGCACATAAAAAGCTAATTTTGTTTAATATGAAAATTCACGAAGTTTGACGTTCAAAAAATTATGGTATTAAAAATTTTGAATAATTAACTTTCTGTAATTACTAAATTTAAAAGTATGGTCAGGTCAAGGTAAAGACCTTGCTGAACTTCGTCGAATAGTGTAAAACAGATAGTTTGACATTTTTTTTTCAAAAATATTGTTTAATACAATTCATTTCTTAAATTCAGTTAGCCCAATAAAAGCTTATAAACTCATTTACACAAAAAGAACGTTTCGGCCGACATCGACAGTCGCGTGAGCAAACGAGGGTGTACGCACAAGGGCAAACTTAGTGTATTCTAGATGTTACATTCATCAGCAATTTTAGTATAAATGTTCCTTGTGTGGCCGACCTCCTTTGCTCAACGCGATCGTCGACGCCGGCCGAGACGCGCGACTATATACCTCGGACGGCAAGCTGATGAGTGCGCCGTATGCGCCGTGCTCTATCGGAGGACATTTCGGCAAGGGAAAAGTACACCCCTATAATCTATCTACACCTTGTCGCTGTAAAATGCTGGTGGCCACCGTCGAGGCATAGCCGGCTAGCTTTCTTTGCCTCACCTTACCACAGGCAAACCGTAAGGGCTGCGACTGTAACCCGAAAACTTTAAAAACTGCCACCCACCACGAGTGCTTGTGCACAGCCGAGCCAGCGTCAAACGCGAAGAGTCCGCGCTCGTAGCCGTTATGGTAAGTCCATGCTAAGGTGAAACGAAGTAAACCTGTTTTCCGCTTTGCTTCTTAGAATACAAAAATATTCTGTAGCGATACCTGTATCGTCCAGGACAAGGTCCCACTTGTCCTCTGTTGGGGAGAACAAAAGTTACTAGTTAGTAGTTAGGAACTCTTTCAGCGATGAGTAAAGCTATACGTACTCCGGGGTGCATTTCGGACGCAATGGCTATACGCACTCCGCTCAGAGCTCATGCCGCTGGGGCCAGCCTTTTCGAACGGCGCGTGTATCACTGGGGAGCTCGTTAACACAGCCCCCCGCCTGCGTTCCCGGCGCTTCGCGGCGACAGTATCGGCTGCTAATTACAAAACTTAACCAATACATGCCACTTCGCGGCGTCCAGCCGGCCACCCAAGCCCCGCTGGCCCCGACCGCACCTCCGGAAAGGGAGACCCATACCATTTAGTTCTGCGAAGTTTCGTCGACAGCATCATCGCAAAAAAGAAATGTCGTAAATATCGTTTATGCCTCGTCAAAACAAAATGTTAAAAAAAAAGAAAAAAAAGCAGTTGGCTCACCGCGGATCGAACTCACATCCATTTGCGTACAAGGCAGGCACCTTTCCCCTACGCTATGGCACTTTTTTATTTTTTTTATTGCCGGTTTGGACATGTACAATACAAAAGGATCACACTGTTACATTCACTTCATGAAGATCACTTATGCGCGGTCGTAAAATTTAAAATTCTTTCAAGGTCTCCAGTACGTCTAGGATTGACACCCAATCAGGCGCACAAACCAAAGTGGCGTATACAGATTTTAGTCTGCAGATGGATTCAATGAAATACATGCGTACTGGTCGGGCATCAAAGTCGGCATGCCTCACTGCCATTCTACTTCCCCATATTGCATGCAGGCCCAGGAGCATGACTAGACCGACAGGGCCGCTTAGAAAATTAGTCGTGAGCATTCCTTTTATACGAGTTTAGTGGAGTGCGTATAGCCATTTCGACCGAAATGCACTCCGGAGTGCGTATACCTTTGTTCTTCAGCGATTGACTCTAATCCGTTATTAGCCAGTGAGGGTCATAATTACCCAGTTGGTAATGCTGAAGAGGGGGGGGGCTAAGCTCGCCTCCGGCGGGAATCTCTCCGATGCCACGTCACGAGGGAGGGGAGGAGCTTCTTTTGACTCCGCCCCGGCGAGTTTCCCACTCCCCCTCTTACATTTCCAACCCCCCCGGCGGCGGCGAGTTCCCCAGCGTAGCTCCGATTTTTCCCTACGCTCCGCAGTGAAGGGTTTTTATTTTATTTAAATGGGGGAACGGTGGCCGGCTGGGCTAGCGCACACCAGCTCGGAGCACGTCGAACGAAAGGTCCGTTGCAGAACCGAGGATGCTGGGTTCAATCCCCACCCCTGCCTGTTTCAATCTGGATGAGCACCGTACCGGCGTGCAGTCGTGTAACACTACTGCGAGATGGACGTTAAAGACCCCAGACTAGCGGTTGTACTGCACTGGCTGAATTTCTCATCTACAGCTGGGAGAATCTTCCCCGTTGAGGCAGACCAAGTTTTAGGCAGTATCAAAATACATACAGCAATTTTTTTTATTTAAATTGTAAATGACAAATAAGAATAGGTAACAGCAGGGATGCTAATTATACAAACATTGCTTGGATGTGGGCTAGTTGACTAGACATTGTGATGGTTTCCTGCGCCACTTAGATGCAAGAAAAACGCTCTTGATAAAGATATAAACTAAAGCAGAGTATAGACGAAAAACAACATACAGGAATGACGCAGACTAACAACTGTGTAATTTCTTTCTCATCTTTCTCCCCCCACACCGCCACACAGCCACAATATATATATATATATATTTTTTTTTTCAGAATAGGGTGCACGTGGAGCGCAAGCTCGCGCTGCAGAACCCAGGATCGTGGATTCACCCCCACCCCTGCCCTTTTCGATGTTGATGAGCATCGTACCGGCACGCGGTCGTGTATCACTACTACGTGGTGCACGTTAAAGACCCTAGGCTAGCAGTCATACTGCACTGGCTAAATTGCTTATCTACAGTAGGTGACAATGTCGCAACGTTCTGGCATGTTCTCCTGCTGTATAAACAACTAACGGCCAATTTGTTTGTCAAAATACGGTGTGGAAGAAGAAAGATGAGAAAGAAATTACACAGTTGTTAGTCTGCGCCATTCATGTATATTGCTTTTCTTCCATCATCTGTTTTAGTTTGAATTTTATCAAGCGCGTTTATCTTGCATCTACGCAGCACAGCAACCCATCAAAATAATTGTAAAAGCCTGTAGG